TGAGGATGACGAGCTAATTTCCATGGAAGAAGAAAGTATTCCCGCAGGGCCAGGGATTTACTGGAATGAAGAGACAGAATGAGAAGGTGTATATTGTCCAAACGCGGTGCGTCTCCGTTCCTTTCCAATTACCAAAATACTGATTCTATTACTAGACACCGACATCGCGAAATCTTATTCGAACCATCTCGCACCTTCATCAGTCGCACCACCCTTCGACACGTTCGTATCCGCCAACGGCTAGCGAATGTATTACGACCATTGGACAGTCTTCCCCAAAACTAAAGGCACCTCTACAACAGGAGATAGAAACCTGTCCGAATACTCTGGCAGTCAGACCGCTTTAACGATTGCATGATCATTTATCCCAGCTGGGCCGGAAGAAGCGAATCCAATTGGCTCTCATCAAAAGTTATACCTCCTGTTCACAAGTTCTAGTACCTCTCGGCTGCATCAGAATCCCTTCAAATCCCCCATCAAACTTCTGGGAGACATATCAATTCGCCTCTGCCCAATTCAAGTCCCACCCAACGAAGCTTACCAGACGCCTGGTCTGGATCCTCCCAGCTCTCTATCGTAGGCCCAGATACAGACCAGTACCTGTAGACGACGTCAATAGTCCGTCATCGCTGAAAGAGAACTCACACTGCGAGTCAATGGACACGGTTGGTAAGTGGAATGACCTGATGCCCGGAAATATTCTCTGAAATCAAATAGATAAATCACGATTTTCTCGTCGAACCGTTTAGCCCCTCACATTGGGCGACGGTTCAACAGGACCGCCAAGTCTGAAAGAAGGAGCACGAACGGGATCCATCTCATTCGAACCGTTCGCGCTCCTTATCGCTCACACGGGCCCTTCTCTACACGATATAGAACTCTAGAATATCCATGTCGGTTAGCAGTTGACGGTTGAACTTGCGACGGAGGAGGATAATGTCCCGATTGCTGCGGAGGTATGTCATGACTTGCATTCGAAGATTATGAGCCTAACCTTTTTTGCAATTCATTCCCATATTCTGGCTATCTTGGGGTATCTGAGTAGATATGTGTTCTAATCTCAGCGGGGTAAGAGTTATCTGACCTATCGCCTTCTCCGTTTTTCTCACTTTCATACGTTCGGGACCAACGATATCCTTCAATGAAAATATGCTCTAATCTCGTTATTCCTGTTCATTGAATATACGACGCGGGGATCCTCTGTCCTGTTCATGGCTACAAAGGAAAAAGATACAGAAACAACAAGCCCGGAAGGTTCTCCTCCCTGCCATATTTCCGGCTTGGAAAACCCCGACATCTTGGAGGAAGAATGTTGCCATGCTTTCGCCTTGTCACGCTTCCGTTTCGCTCACCTCGTCCTATTCTTCTTGACCACTGTCCACCTTCTGTTCCGTTTCCGTCCCCTCTCCTTCCTGAGTGCCATAGATGGAATGGTCGTGTTCGACCCGAAGTTGTCTTTGTCGGTTGTGGAACAAATGGGAGATTTGGATGGGGCGTGCGCCCAGTGCCGTTGTCGGATAATGGATATCCTCGTTGATATTAATGTACTGCTATGATTCCTGTTTATATTATAGTCAGTCTTGTCGTTTTTAAGATAAATGCGCGCATGCAAATACGACGAGTACTCCCGGCTTGCTCCATTTTGACTTGAGCATCGCGCGAACACCTGAAATTTCGACAATTTTGGGTATTATGGGCGAATATCTCGCTGTTACACACCAGAAGGTTGATAGAAGTATCGTATGTAAGCATTGTTTGGTACTCTGAGATAAAGATTTACGTGTAGACTCGTTCTTATGTTCTATGATATGATACGCACAGTTAGAGTAGTTCTCTAGTATTATCAGTTGTATAAATAGCGTGTCTATATAAGGGATATTTGCGAAGATGGGCTCTCTTGCGGATTTGCCATCCTTTGTGGACCATCCCGAGTCGCTCACGGCCCAAGTAGACTACAAATAATGTATAAACGACTCTTTATAACACATAGAACGGGTCAAATGTGTGTTATGGTGTGAACTCAGAGCAGGAGTGGGTCCGGAAGTGAGCATATCAGGACGGTGCTCGAGGAGAAAGGGGACTTGTCCAATATCGCGTCTCGTTAGCGTCGGTCAGAAGTGGAGATAGGTTTGAGGGTTTCTGGCTGCGGAATATGGGTGCAGATGAATTGTAGAGTTTTTTTGGATTAGGTTGGAACCTCCGTGAGGGAGGTCGAGGTTGGGGGAATAACTCGACCGAAGGACGTGCATGCATCTCTCGAAGAGTATTGAGGGATCCTAGTGTCTGGCTCGATCTAGTGTGTCCTGGAATCATGACCTGTTGACGTATTGGTTCAATATGGCTTCTTGCTTCGAGTGAGGAGACAAGGCAGACAGTCGTATGTGCTGTGCGAGATCCAATAACATCACAGGAGAATGTCTTTGAGGGAAGGCAAGCGAGTCGGCGCCTCATCGACGTGAGTAAGCAATGAGGACGAGAGCTTCAATGATTTGAATGGTGTCGTCATTGGCTATGGTATCGCCAGTTGAGGAACGGCGGAGTGGCGGAGTCGCACTGCGGCGTTTGCTTTGTCCGATGAACTTGTCGACCCTCCCTCTCAATATTGACATCACCGAACTCGGTCCAAAGCGCCGCCAAATCCCTGAAACAGCGACAATATCCCTTTTGGATCATCCAGCTTGACGTTCGCCTTGTCGTTATTCTCAGGATCTGGGATGGCTTATCAGTTGGTCGAGTTGGAATGCCGTGGGGTTTGTAATTTGGAGAGCAAATGCTCCGATTAACGATCTCGAGCCTTCCACTCAAGCTTTCCAAGTCACTTGAAACAGTCAAGAACTCGGACGGTGTATTTTCCAGCATCGTTCCTTGTCAACAAACGGTTTGACCTACGGTTCGAGACGAATGTCGACGGCTGATTCAGCAAGGCCTCAATACGGAGATGGTTCTATAGAGAACCTCGGTTCGCCACCTGCATTACGAGTGTGGAGAGAGCGCGCAAGGCGGGAGAACAGGGACGTTGGCTTCGTGCCGACAATGGGTGCACTGCACCACGGTCATCTAGATCTGGGTACGTCATGTTACAACTCTACCACTGTCAGGCTATCCCACTAGATATGCTTGCTACTTTCACTTTCTATGCTCTCTCGAGGGCTGGCACTTGATAACTCCGTGGCCAAAAATTTCGTGCCACTTCCTCAACCGGTCGAGACGAGATGCCATCCCTACGATTTCCCGTATTCTTTCCCATTTCTTCCCCATGAGACGTCTTGTTAGTGAACTAGATGCTAATGGAAACTACATTTTACAGTGCGACGCTCGCCCTACCAAAGCCCGTTAACCATTGTTTCCATATCCGTCGGCCCAGCACAATTTGCACTTCGCGAAGATCTTGCTACCTACCCGAGAACACTGAAAAGTGACATGGAGGAATTATAATAAGTGGTAGTAGGAATATCTCCCAGTTTCGATGCACCAGTTACTCGAAACCCCTCATCCCTCCTGTTCAAGTCACGCATCTCTCCAGTATTACACAAGACGTGGAGAAGCAGAAGAGGACACTCGTTCAGGTCGAAGGATATGAACAAGAGATAGAGGGGACAAGTAGACCTGGTTCCTTTAGGGGCGTCGCCACAGTCTTCACGAAATTGTTCAACGCTGTCGAGGTATGCATCGTGTCTTCTCCTCTATCGTCTCTTCCATTCCATGGAGAAGGTTGAACCAGGCTTTGCTAACATATTCTTTCTATTCGTCAGCCACGCACACCTACCTTGGTCAGAAAGATATCCAACAAGCGCTATTGCTTCGGCGTCTGACATCCAACCTACCCCTCCCCCTTCCTACGCCATCGAACCTGCACATCAATACCAACCTACCGCGACGCTATCACTGGGCTCGCGCTCTCCAGTCGAAACGCCTACCTGACAGACAAAGAGCGACAAGACTGGGCTCCAACATTATGGAGGAGTTTACAAGAAGGGAAGAAAGTATGGAGGGAAACACTAGAGGCGTGTTACTCTCAAGGAGGGTTGTCCAGCGGGAATAGCGATATCCAGTGCACTGGACTAAGGGAGAAAGTCAAGGAAGCAGCCGAACAAGTCATCATCGCGGCCTCAGAGTCAGCTAGCAAAGATGATACCCCAGTGACGATTAAACTCGACTATATCGAGCTGAACTGGGTCGATAATTTGGAACTAGTGGGAAGCTTCATGATTGACTCATCAAGTTCCAAGAACGAGGATTCAGCCGATGACATGCGAATGCCAGGGGTCCCAGCAATGATTTTAAGTGGTGCTGTGGGTCGGTGGGTCGGACCCGTTTAATCGACAGTATGTTATTAGGAGACACCAAGTATATTCTCGGGTAGAGATAGGAAATAGGCTGCTGTGTTTTGTTTTCTCGAGTTCTTGACTGTAGATAGATGCAAGATATAAACTCAGATCATTTTGGAACATGCTTTTTCTAGTCATCTTTACGCAGGTCGCAGGTTGACTGGCCACATTCACAACTCTTACTTGACCAGCACGAATGGCCTCTATACTCAAACGAATTAAACGCAAACAATCTCCAGAATCTTCCATCTCGGACTCGCCTCCACCTGCTGAGACTTCTGGGGGATCCAGTTCTGACTCAAAATACCAGACGGCCCGGGATAATCTGATCGGGGCGTCCAAAGTGGTCAAGGCGATTGCGGAAGCGGCATCATTTCTGGGACCGTTGAAGTCTACGTGCGAAATGGCGATTCTATTCCTGGAAAAGACGAAGGTAGGGGATATGTCAGTCTCCTGTATATCTTGACGCGACTGCTGATCACTCCGGCAGGCGATCAATGAGAACACAAAAGGTCTCAGAACCTTATCAATCACTCTAAAGTCTCATATCGATACACTCGAGAGTTCATGGCAAGCGTTACAGGAAAACCAGACGGAGCCACTGGCTACTGGACAACGAGACTTCCTCCATGCGCTGAACGATTATATCCAGTAAGTTCTACATTCTCGAAATAGGTATAATGGGACTGAAAATGGACCCAAGAGGTCTTAAGAACACACTTGAGAAGGTCGAGCAGGTCCTACCGGAAAGAAAGAAAGGCAATAAAAGGCCTCGTATCGAACCTAGGGTACTTGCATCATATCAAGACGAGATTATGAAATATTCAAAGGCATTCAATGTAACTTTCGGTCTTGGTCATAGGAATTTGTGATATGATACTAATGACCGGTTGCAGGAGACGACGGTGGTATGCCAATTCAATATACAAGCAGAAGGTGGATTGCTCCTCTCGTCAGAAAGGACACTAATAACACTCTATAGCATTAAAGATAGCCCGTCTCGGTCCCGAGAAAGCACGACCAATGGGGACTCAGCACGAGACATGCCTCAAAGGAACACGGGAACCGATTCTTCAAGAGATTCGACAATGGGGGAAGGCTCAGACAGTCGAAAAGCAGCTCTTTTGGCTATGCGATATAGGTGGATCCGGTAAATCTACTGTTGCGTACACAATGTCCCAAGAGTGGGACGAGGAGCCGAACATTTTCCTTGGTCGATTCTTCTTTTCGAAGAATGCTCGAGACACGTCTGATATAGACACATTCTGCTCAACTCTCGCAAGGGACCTCGCATCGAAGCACTCAATATTGAGCTCTATAATCACCGACGCACTCCAAACAGATTCTCTCCTGACCGAGCGAGATTTTACCAAGCAGTTCAAGAAACTGATAGTAGAGCCTCTGTGCTCGATTTCACAGGATATCATTTTTGTAATCGATGCAGTGGACGAGTGCAAGCCCGAATCACGAAAGCGAATGCTGCGAGTATTGCTGCAGGAGCTCGTATCCCTCCCAAATCTCAAGGTTCTTCTCACTAGTCGGCCCGAATCGGACATTATGGATCTACTTCGTGATAAAGCGATTGTTCGCAATATGCATTTCGAGATGCAAGGCTCGAACAACCAGTCGAACATGGCGGACATTACTTCATACGTTGATCACCACCTCACCAAGTTGCTGACTAGTCGATACAGGCAACAATTAGTAGCGCAATCGAACGGGCTGTTCATTTGGGTATCAACAGCAAGGATCGAGTTAGAGTTGGCAGCAGCGTATAACTCGACACAGTTCAAATCCACGTTGGCATCTCTCCTAGCGAGAGGAAACGGAGGTGATCTCGACACACTATATCTCGGAATACTTAACAGGGTACTTAGAGGGGATTCAAAGGACCTGATACTTCGTGTGCTTGCGACTTTGGCCATCTTATATGAGCCGGTATCTATCACGTGTCTGGGGAGATTAATCAATGCTCATGATGAAGAACTTGAACTAGAAGTAAAGTCGATGAGAAGCGTATTTCGTGTAGACAATACTATCGAGTTTCTTCACCCTACGTTTCGGGAGTATCTAACTAGTATTCAAGGGAAAGGGACGATCCCAGATGCATATGCATCCCATACGGTTCTCGCCCTTGGTACTCTCGGAGCGCTACAGCGGGACTTGAAGAGGGATGTGTGTAATATCGATGTCCCTGGAGTCCCTTTCCCGGATAACGCGAAAGTAGTAGATCTGGATGACCGATTATCGGCTCTTTCGCAATCTTCGCCGAGTCTGCTTTATAGCTCTCAGTACTGGGCATTACATGCATCTCAAGCGGTACAAAATGCTTCTGTGGCCGAGAGTCTGGGTGTTTTCTTGAAGACAAAGGTGCTCAATCTGATAGAAATATTGAGCTTGATGGGTCATTTACTCCGACTTCAAGACGTGTTGGAACTGCAAAGAAAACTTGAAGTGCATTGGCCTGAAAACGAGGCGATCGAGGTAAGATGTTTTCATAACAACCGTGACTTCATCGGATGCTCATCTCTTATCTACAGCTTTGCGAAGAGACTTGGAGATTCGTACAAAGCCGCCAATTAATGCTCGAGAGGAGTGCATTACACGTGTATTCATCGGGTTTACTATTCCTCCCTGCACATACAAAATTGGGCGATATATACAAAAAACCATTTGAATCAGATCTACCACAGATTATATGCGGGTTGGACGCCCATTGGTCACAATACCGAACACTGGCCGGGCACAGTGATCTCGTTACGTGTTTTTCCATATCTCCAGATGGAACTCGAGTCGTGTCTGGATCTTATGACGGCACAGTTCGAATGTGGGATGTAACTACCGGTGCAAGCCTGGGAATTGTCATGGATGGTGACAGCGATATTATTCACCTGGCGTACTCATCAGATGGTTCCCATATCATCATTGGCACTCGGTCAGGTTATTTAGCAAAATGGTATGGGTTCACAAGTGAAACAATTCATATCCAATTACAATGTAATCTTGGGCGTGACGGTATCTTGGAACTATTCTTTTCGCCTGATGAAACTCGAGTGGTCTATTGTGACCCTATAAATGGACTGGGGTTGTGTGATGTGATGACAGGTGAAATTATTTCCCCATTAATCGAAGGATATCTTGGCTATGATGGGACTTTGGCCTCTTCACCTGACCAAACTCGAGTTGCCTGTATCTTCGAAGGGTCATTATATCTATGGGATGTCAATACAGGCAAACAAATCGCATTTACCTCTCTCATTGATCAGAGAGCTACATGCCTAGCTTTCTCACCAGATAGCAGCCAGATCACGCTGGGATATAGGAGTGGAACACTAGAACTATGGAATGCAGCCGCAAACTTGAGTTGCATAGCCACTTGGGAAAGCCAGGCCGGTGTGATAACGGCCCTGGCTTTCTCACCTGATGGTACTCGAATTATTTTCGGCCATGAACGTGGGGCAATGGAGCTGCGGGATTTGATCACAGGTTCAAAGATCAGCACCATGTCATGGGAACACACTGACCTCAGGAATTTGAGATTCTCGTCAGATGGAAATCGGATTGTTTCTGTCTGTGGTGATCACACATTATGGCTGTGGGATGGGTTGACAGGTGCGAGTATCGGACCACCTCTGAAAGGCCACACAAGTTTTATCAGTTGTGTGTCATTTTCCCCTGACAACACTCGAATCATTTCTGGATCATATGACTACACATTGCGAATATGGAATGTGGCGACGAGTGGAAGGGATGAGGCGATGCAGGAGTGCCACGGAGATGAGGTCACTTGTATTGCATTCTCACCCGATGGCAGTCGCGTCATTTCCGGTTCCGACGACTGGACATTACAACTATGGAATGCAGAAACAGGCGCCGGCATTGGCTCTGCGTGGGATGAACACATTGATCCAATTGTATGTGTGGCCTTTTCGCCGGATGGGACCCACGTCATCTCTGCAGAACGGAGGGGTTCATTGCGACTTTGGGATGTGGCGAGTGGTGTCTGCATCGGAGAGTTGGCAGCAAATCTATCGCATGTTCGTCACATTGCATTTTCACCCGACGGCTCCAAATTCGTTTCCTATAATGACGACAATCCCTCACCATCCTTGCAACTATGGGACCTCACCTGCAATCCCATTGGAGCAGACATCGAATGCAGTTCCCTCCGTGATCACAACATCACATTCTTTGAAGATGGAAGACCATTTTCATTATCAACAGGTGACACCTTCAGAATCTCTGACCAAGGGATTGAGAGGCTGGGATCATCACCTCAAACGGGCCACACAAGTAGAACAGAAAAGACTGGAATAATATATCAATATGGTTCTCTCATTATGAGAGATGAACCACGCCATACCTTTGCACTTCCTGCACAGTTGGTGGTGAAAACTTGGGCAGCTCATCAAGCCAAAATTGCGCTTGGGTTTGATTCAGGACGTATCATGATAATAGACTTTTCCAAGCTCTTAAATTGAGCACTATATCCCACTGTGTCTGGTTCATCAAGAACTTGTGCCTGGGCTCTCCGTAGGATAGCTCGTCCGTACCTTTCCAGACAGATCCATTGTACTGTATATACCACATGGTTCAGAATCAATTTGACATTACCTGCTATAGTCGATCCCTTCCTTGACGAATATTAGGCTCATGGTGGGACAAGCAACTTGGACCCGACCTCATCGCTCATCTGAACCAAAAGCACCCTCAAAGTGAACATGAGATACCCAATGTCGAAGGGAACACCTTCAAAGAACTTCATACCCCACGTTACAACACTAGCAGAGCTGCGCACCAAACAGGACTTCAACCTACAAAGCTGCTGTCACTCTGCCAAATGGTTCCTTCTCACTCGCTCTCATGCACTCGACATCACCTAACAAAGCATCGGATCACCGGATGGGAGTGTTGTTTCAACGAGGAATAAGAATGGATGGTTATGCATCTATCAGACAGACCTCCAAAACAAGTGGGTGCTGATGGAGGTCTCAATATGTCGTTCTGACTTATATCTTTCCTTTCTCTTTCGGATAAGCTTCGTTTCTATTGTGTCCAGGATGACACATCAAGTGAGGAAGGCCGAGAGGAAGCTCTACGTCAGTGCGGTCATAAAAATCTCAAATCAGTCCTTGATACTGGTACCTCTAAAGAGAACACACACACATTCATCAAGTACCACCTATATTATGGCACCCATGGGTCATATTGTCTTCCAATCCTGCCACGTATTGGATTTTGGCCTCTCCTTGGGATGTACCTGTCAAATTGTTGGACACCAATGACGGTAGAGTAAGTCTCGTCTACATTTTATCCTTATTTACCGTGCATTCTCATAACGGTTTTCGATCTTCCTTCACCTCCACCCCTTTGGTCACCTGCCTTCGTCCACAAAATAGTTGATCATCGTACACGTTTCGTAGATTCTCGTACTATGGAGTGTAGTCTCACTTGGGGGAGGTAAATCGTCGATGAATGATATAGACGGAGCGTCATTGACATCTTGTGTTAGGATATCCTGTGGCTTTTGAGTGCGGTAGAGGTATTCGACCTGGCTTCACCAAGACAGAAGACTTACCTATTAGTGATTCAAAGTAAGAAGGGTAAAGGTGAACCGAGAGGTTGGGCTCCTCATCTTTTACGCTTACAACGAAGTAAGCTTACCCTCTCCAATAGGCGTAATGTCATCTTTTTCGCTCTTTTCAGGCGACTCGAAGCTGCTCGCATCAGAAACATTCAAATCACTCGTAGCATTATTCTCCAAAGGTACGGGTTGGCCAAGTACCCACGTATTTGGAGCAGGTGGCTAGTGCGATTATACAAGTGAGCCTCATATTTCAACTATATTATCAATGGAATGACGATATTTCCAGTTTAAGATCCAGCTTTGTCCGAGCCAGCTGAACATCTTATGACCAGCGGCGATAATGGTGATGCCAATGAGTATTAGCTCCCTCGACTGGCGCATCGAGTTCAATGTGTCTCCCATGACTCACTTTAGACACACATTGCACCTAGTCACACGCCTACTCCACAGAGTAGCGGATGTCTCCAGCTCCGGCACCGCAGCCAAACCTGCACACAAACATATGACGGCAATCATGAATGCTACAACGTTGAGAATGGTATACCCGAGAAATAAGAAAATGGATGGTCCTTGGAGAGGACGCAAGAAGCGTGACTCGTCTTGCACAAGTTCGACCATCCCTAGTACCATTGACGAGGCCATTCGGCAGGAGGTAGACAATGGCGCCTGTAGTAGTGGAAGTGGACGAGCTATCTCTACACTCTCAAGTTCACCTTCAAGTCTTGTGGGATACTATAGCAAAAGAAATGACAAGTGGATTACTGCTTTGCCAACTATCGTGGAAGAGGACAATATTCTCCCAATGACAGAGATTCTTGGGTTGAAGAGACAGAATGAGAAGATAGATATTGTCTGAACGCGGTATGTTACCTTCCTTTCCCATTACCAAAATCCTGATTCTATTCCTAGACATTGACATCATAGGGCCCTATAGGAACGAATATGCATCATCGACACCAAATCTGTCTGCTCCACATAGTAATTCTCCTGCCCCCATCCTACTCGCCATTTACACGTCGAAGAGATGACATCTCCCTTCTATTGTCCTGCGGATATAAATGCAACTCGGATCAAGAGATTCATTTGATATCGACCTTGCCATCGAGTGGTTGGTAGCTGCTGGTGGGGTGTGCTCATTCAGACCCTCTAACAATCGAGCACTGTCTGTGAAGCACGGTGTTTGGAAGCATAACCCTCATCCACGGTGCCTTTTGATCTGCCAACGGCCGTCGAATAATATACGAGCGTGGCACGGCACGGCGGTCGGACAGTTGCCTCCAAACGTCCACGAGGCTTCTACAATTAGAAGTGAAAACGGAGGTGAATAATCTGGTGGTCAGACTGCTTCCACCGTTGATACATCATCTGCCTCCCTTGGACAGAAGAGCAAAGTTCGTTTAGTTCTCTTCAAGTCTTGTACGACCCGTTCATGAGACCTGACATCCTCCCAAAGGCACCTATGCCCTCTCGAAACCCTCATCGACCTAATGAGGGGATATATGAATTCGTCTTCGCCTAATTCAAGTCCCACCTCACCAAGCTTACCAGACGTCTAGTCTGGGTCCTCTCAGTTCTCTATCGTGTCTACTAGGTCCAGGTCCAGACTAGTAACTATACGCGACGTCAATACCCTGTCAACGCTGAAAGGGAGCTCACATTGTGGGTCAATGGAGATGGGTGGTAGGTAGAATGACCGAATATCTGGGAACATTATCTGAAACTGAATAAATAGGTCACAAAATCTTCGGTAAACCGATCGAGCCTTTGATTAGGTGACAGTTCTACACGAACGTCATCTCCACAAGGAGGAGCACGAATATGATGCATTTCATTCCGAACTGTTCACGGACATTATTGCTCAATTAGGCCCTATTCTACACGGTATCGAACTTTAGAATATCCACAAAGTTTCAAAGTTGATGGTTGAACTTGCGACGGAGGACGCAAATCTTGTAGACGTTGTAAAGGTATGTTACGAGCTTACATCTGACGAACGAGAGCTTGATGTTGTTTTCAGTTCATTCTTATACTTGTCAGCCTTGCAGTATCTAAATAGATCCATGGTCTTATCTCAATGGGGTAAGAGTCACTCGACCTATGATCTCGTCCGTGTTTCTCACTTTCATACATTGACAGTCCAGAACAAATGACTTTGTTCAGCAGATATATGTTCTCTTGTTATTCTCCTCATGGGATATATACAGCGCAGGGAGTCTCTGTCGAGTTGATGGCTACCGAAGAAAAAATGATGGCACGACAGTCCTCTCTCTCCCACGATCCCACCAGCTTTGGACATGCCACTAGCTCAGAGGAAGGAATGTTGCCCTTGAATTGGTTATCGAGTTCTTTGTCGCCGCCAATTTCCACTGTCCCACCATTCTCCTCATCTACGAATGGGCTCAGACATGATTCCGTGTCAGGAATTCTTCAAGCATTCCTCACCACCATCCCTATCTGTTCCTCTTCCATCACTTCCTCGTCTCAAGCGTGATAAGCGCAGTGATTGTATTCACTCTTCGAGTCGTCTGGACATGGTCAGATTTGTCGAAACCGAGGTCGTCCTGTCATTGTGTGGTCAAGATTGAAGACTCGGGTGCAAGTAGTTACCCAGGATGTGAGCAGATGGGCCGCCGTGTGTTGGAGTGTAGGTTGCGACTTCTATGGCGACAGAAGTTGGGAATGAATCAGATGGATAAGGGGCTGGACGTCGAGGGACTGGAGGGTTGGGTAACTAGATTGACGGACGGAGTGTTGTTTAAGGTGAGAAGGATGATTTCCAATAATTACTGTCTTTCATAGCCCGATGGCCGAGACGGGACCGAAGGCGTGATGACACTCACTCTTCATCGGCCGCATCCACTACTGTCTCGTACACATTTCTGTGGCTAGGGTTTCTCCTGTACTGCCCGCATTGATCCAGGAATATTGCTGTTATGGCCTGTCTGCGTATTGACCCCTCGTGGCTTCTTTCCCGGATCATCTTTGAGTAATTAAACCAAAAAAATTCGATATAGTCGTATTTGCTAAGTGAGAATCGAACCACCAATGTCATTTGGCGACGTCCTCCAGGGAAGGGAGGCGGACTGGGACCGTGTCCATAATGAATAAAGGACGAGAACGAGGGCTGGAACGAAACATGTCGTGGTGGGATATGGCGACACTCGTTGAGCCGGGTCGAAGCAAGGTTCGCGTCCGGCCCTGTGGCTTTGCTTTGTCGAAAGCGAACCTTGTCGACCGTCATGTCACCGTTCCATACATGAAGCTAAAGCCAGCGCCTAAGCGTGGCAATGGACGATTTGTTTCTGTAATAAAAGCCATCTCATCCTCAGAAATTGCCAGTTTAGGGAATGTGAATGTCGCGGTCTCAGTTCGCTCTTTGAGCGAACTTCGCCCGCGACTCACAAGATGAGAAGCCATACCTATCAAGAATAAAGACCAATGAGTTGTAAGTAGGTCGAATTGAAGTGCTATGTGATTGAACACATTGTGTGTAATGAGGAATGGAAGAAGTGAGCAAAGAACGCAAGAGTCTGCAACGTCAATACGCCACACGCTAAAATGAATTAAAGAATGAAACCATATAAGGAAAGCGTTTTGGACGACAAAGGAAGCATTCAAAAGTCAGTTTTCGTGGTCCTAAAACGATTTATTTTTCGCTACGCTACAAACAAATCGTAATTGGCACTCCAAGCCAAGCCCAAAGTACCGCCAGCCTCCAAAATAGCGATAAAATTCGTTTCGGGTCATCTTGAAGGTCGCCTTGTCGTCACCTGGGCCATCACTGGTTTAGGATAGCTTACCGATTGGAAGGCGGTTGAGTTTGTAATTTGGAAAGCGAATGCTCCAGATAACGATCTCTAATCTTCCAATCAGGCTTTCAAGACAACTTGGTAGCGAAGAAACTCAACGTGGTATCACTCAGTGTCATTATCTGTCAACAAACAGTTCAACGAACAGTTCAAGGTCTACGCGGACGATTGTTTCCAGCAGAATATCAAGGCTGATACAGTTCTATAGGTGTTTTGGACTCGTTAACCGTATCACAGGCGTGGAGAAAGCGCGCGAGAAACGAGGATAAGGGTGTCGGGCGTCGTCCCGACGATAGGTGCGCTACACCAAGCCCATCTGGATCTGGGTACGTCATGCTATACTTTTACCACTATCAGTCTATCCTCCTGGGATAATCTTGCTAATCTATTTTTCGATCTTATTTTGAAGATGGCCCACCTGGTGGCTCGGTGGCGAACGATCTTGTGCCACCTATAAGTTGTCAAGTGCCATCCTTCCAATCTCTTTCTGACTATGATACCGCGATATTATAATGGTGCAGATGAACGCTGAAAACTACAGTACGACGCTCATCACGCCAAAACGCAGCGACCATTGTTCCCATATTCGTCAAGCGGCACAATTTACGGCCCATAGAGATCTGGACATCTACCACGAAGACTAGACAGTAAGATGGAAGAACTACAGGAAGCGTTGGAATGGTTATCTCCAAATTCTGATCCGTCAATCGCTCGAAAACCATCCAAGTCATGCACGCGTCCAGCATTACACAGGGTGTGGAGAAGCTGAAATGACCACTCGTCCAGGTCAATGTATAGGAGCAGCAGAGGGAAAGAAGAAGCAGGCTTGGTTTCTTCAGCAGCGTCGCCATCGTCATCACCTAATTATCCAACGCGTCGAGGTATGCTTCGATTCTTGTCCAAGCACTCACTATTTCATCACCATTCTATCACTTGTTCACCTCTACAAGTATACGCTAACATAGATTCTTTCTTGGTCTCTAGCCAACACACGCCTATTTCGGCCGGAAACATCCTGCTACCTCTATTGCTCCGGTATCTGACACTCGACTCACTCCTCTCCCATCCTACTCCACTGGACCTATACATCCGGGCAACTTACCGCGATCCTCGGACTGGGTTCGCGCTATTCCATTCGGAATGCCTACCTGACGGAAATGGACAGGCGAATTCGGGTGCCGGTACCTTAAAAGAACCTACAAGAAAGAAAGGAAGTGTGGAGATGAGCATTAGATATGTGATGCATGGAAAGACGGGTGAGTAGCGGGAGTAACGGTAACCAGTGTACGGTGGTAAAGGGGAAAGCCAAAGAAGCAGCCAAACGAAACATCATCGCGGTCTCAGAGGTGGCTAACGAGGAGAGTTCTCGCGTGGTGGACATACACGATTATATCGAGCTGAACTGGGTCGATGGGTTCGAAACAGGCGAAAGCTTCACGGTCAACCGATCAAGTTCCAGGACGGAAACGATTTAATGATATCGGGAAGTCAGGTAATGGTTCTGAAAGGTGCTGCTGGGGCACTATTACTTTGCAATAGTTCACTAGCCATAATATTATCGGGTCGGGATATGATGCGTTCGGTTTGATGGGGGTAGATTTTCGTCGAGGCTGACTGTAAATAACTGCAATGCAATAAATGACCTCAAAAGAAATATAATGCGCATTTTGTACTCTGGTGACTGCTACGATAGTCGTACGTTGACCCGCTACCTTCCACACTCTTACTCGACCACCACCACCATGTCTTCACTGTTCAAACCAGCCAAACAAAAGAAGAAGACGAACTCATCTGCTTCAGATCCATCGCTATCTTCTGGTGCCCTTGAGGGCTCCAGTACCAACTCAAAGTACCACGCAGCCTGCGATGATCTGATAGGCGCTACCAAACTGGTCAAGGCGATGACCGAGGCGGCTTCATTCCTCGGACCCCTGAAGTCTACGTGTGAAGTGGTGATTCTGCTTTTGGAAAAGACCAAGGTATGGGTCATGACAGTCTCCTCCAGTACATGCTGATGTGACCGGCCGGTCATCCTATCAGGCGATTAATGAGAATATAGAGGGGCTCAGGACATTATCCAACACTCTCAAGTCCCATATCGATATGCTCGAGAATTCATGGCTCGTATTACGGGAAAAACAGATGGACCCACTACCGGTTGGACACCAGGACTTTATTCAGGCACTAGATGAGTATATTATGTGAGGTCTTTGTCCATATCATATGTGTACCATGACTGAGGTCATCCTCAGAGGCCTCAAGACAACACTCAAGAAGGTTGATCAAGCACTCAAGGAAAGAGAGAAGCACGCCAAAGGGCTTTTCAAGAATGTTGGTTCTGCTCGCATCGAACCCGGAATACTCGCAGCATATCGAGAGGAGATCACACGACACTCGAATACGTTCAACGTAAGTTTGAGACTTGATTGATGGGAAACTTGATTGGACGCTTTACAGGAAACGACGACAGTATGTCGAATGAACATCCAAGTGGAAGGTATAGAGTCCCTCTTATCAAAATTACGACCATTTATCCCCCTTTAGCGTTAAAGATCGCACGACTCGGTCCCGAAAAACCGCAACCAATGGGAACCCAGCACGAGCTATGCTTGAAGGGAACGCGGGAACCCATTCTTCAAGAGATTCGCGACTGGAGAGGCTCTCAATCCGTGGATAAGCGTATATTTTGGCTATGCGATATAGGCGGCTCAGGAAAGTCCACTGTAGCGCGCACAATGTCCCATGAATGGCGCAATTCGGCGGACATTCTGCTTGGACAGTTCTTCTTTTCGAAGAATGCGAGGGACACGATTGATACAGATATATTCTGCTCGACGCTCGCGGATGACCTAGCATCGAAGCACGCGGAAATGAACACTGCAATTGGTGATGCACGCAATGCCGATTCCCTTTTGACCAAGCGGGATTTCACGGAGCAATTCAGCAAGCTCATATCAGAGCCCTTACGGTCGGTTTCGCAGGATATTGTTTTCGTGATCGACGCAGTGGACGAGTGTAAACTGGAATCGCGCAAACGACTGCTGCGAATCCTGCTTCAGGAACTTCCTTCCTTACCAAATCTCAAGATTCTTCTCACCAGCCGTCCCGAGTCGGATATCGTCGATCTCCTCCAGGGTAAGGCGGTGGTTCGCGGAATACAGTTCGAGATGCAAGGCTCCAAGAATCAGTCGAACATGGCAGACATTAGTTCGTACGTTGATCACCATCTCACCAAGCTA